TCTATTTTAGTTTACAGGTAATAGTTGTTGGTAAAATCGGGTTTTATTTGCAAGAAATTTACTCTCATTCACAACTGATTGCTAAAACAAAAACCACTGTAAATGACAATAAAAATTGTTTATGAAGGAGTGAGAATAAGAAATTCAGTAGTTGGAGAGGATTGTTCTACTCGCAAACTGGTTTTCTCATAATCCATCTGGATTTCAAACGTGCCCATCATATTGACCATTTACTGCTCACAATGCAGGTGGATCAAAATCAGTTTGTGAATAAGTAAAAGAGTAGTAAAATAACTTCAGCCTCACAGGAAGGTTTAATGTCCAACTCCTTGTTTTAGACTGTACAAAGACCTTACAATAGTTTTTTCACATTATTCTCAGTTCACTCATTGACTTCTGCAAACATGGATGTTTTTAGGGATGGTTAGGGCTATCAGTTTGCCATTCTACATTTACAAAAACATCGCTTTGCTAATAACTGCCATCTTTTATACCCTAGTTACTGTGTGTACCTACCATCGTTTGCCAGTTTTTGTTAGTAAATGTGTTAAATTGATCAAAAGTTACAGTATTTTTGGGTAACTACAAATCACACGAACTGCAGGCCCCGTTTTCGGATTATTAAGGCCCCCTTAGTGAATGTGGTAATAAGCCACAGGCTATGCTAGACTCGCTAATAAGGCAAATATGAGTCAGATACAGTAGCCACTAACCACCTCCGTCCTTTTCGTCCGAACAGCTTGTGGGTAGAACCATCCTTTTCAAATATTGGTGGTAAATATCAGTTCATTTGAATATTTCTATGGTAATCTAAGAGATGTTTTACCGTACATTTTAAACATTGGATTATTTAGGGCATTCTTATAATTATCAAATATTAAAGTGTTCTACAATGTTATGTTATAAACAATTAGGTCACAAGCATAAAATTTAATCATTTTTATAATAGTTAATATCGTTTCCAAATTGTGGCTGTTATACCATTTGGGATAGTATCTAAATATAATATAAAATTAATTTATAATTAATACACTTTTTATGTTAAAATTCATTTTCGTATTTGTTAAAACATGAACATTGGGAGGAAAATACATATTTTAAATTATCATAATGGTTTATTGGAAGTATTGAAACATGAACTGTAATATTTTATGGAACTATATTTTATAGCTGTCATGTCTAACATTAATCGAGTAGGCCTGAATTAATTATGTTTTGAAAGTGATAACAAATTTTTACTGAACCCTAGAAAATTATATTGTTACATACATTATTATTGAAAATAATAAAAAGTTTTTTGTCTCACACAAAGAAGTCAATAAAAGATAGAAAATTAAATATATTATTTTTTTAATCTGTCATGTTTTTATGGTATAAATCCATAAAGACACCTTACGCTCTTAGGGGACCTAGGCTTTACTCCACTCTGAATAAAAGGAACACAATTTATTTTCTCTGCAGAAGTTTGCTTAAAGCTGCTCAGTTTTCATTTTATAAAACTAGAATCATTTTGTAACGAAAATCAAGGTTTACTTTGTTGTGATATTCTTCAAAGCAGCTTGTGCATAGGCTAACGTGTGTTTATGCCTTATTTTTTGCCTATTTTTTTAATTATGTGGCCGATTCCTTCATATTGTTGATATGTCGTGCTCCTCTAGGGCCGTCCTGTGCCTTCGGATTGTTTTATATCTGGCCAAATTTAACTATCTTCTCTAACTCGTCTAACATCAAGTTGTATTTTGGGCAAATCCACACTGTTTCGCCAGTATGAACTACTAGCTAGTAGAAAAGAAAAACTTTTGCCCTTTCATCCTAGAAAATTTACAAACAAACAATTGAATGAGTTTAATTATATAAATTTAAAAATTACCTTTAGGTCTTGTAAACTTTGAACAGCTACCCTTGAATATCTTATCTACAATTTCAAAGCTTCTTCAACAGTCATTGACAATTTTTTCTCCCTTTAGCACTTAAATTTTTGTCTTTTGCGCCAGTCCCTACTAAAAGATTTCCAGTTCTTTTATGACGAAGAAAATTCTTCTCAAAGAAATCGTATCAAGTTATGTTTGGTTCAAGAATTACAAACAATTGAATGAGTTCAATTATATAAATCTAAAAATTACCTTTAGGTCTTCTAAACTTTGAACAGCTACCCTTGAATCTACCATGTTTTGCACAATTTTAGTCACATGTTCTAATTTGACTAATGTCTTTATACTCTCAGCGAAACCAAACGTTCATTTGAGCTGTACAAGTGCATTGAGAGTACTCAACAGCAACGAAAAAGCGGTCAATACCACCAGTGGAAATTTAGTATCGGTTGATGGAAATGCGAAGGGAAACTGAACTTGAACAATTTTCAACACGCATGAGTACCGTTAATTATTTTACGGTGTTGATATTTTTGGTACAAAGATCAACTGTTTACCTTTTAAAAAATCAATATTCGTGTTGAACTAACTCTACACAGTATCCGATATGGAATGTCCAACATGTTCTGTTATGTGTCGTTTGTGGTCGTTTCTTCAAGTAGATTTCTCAGAAAGAACTCGATAAACCAACCCTTTTCCTTGGGGGCTGCTGGGCACTACTGTATTAAATAAAAAATATTAAACTTAGAGAAGAAGAGGCATAGGTGGCCGGGACATTGAGGTATTGACTGACACAGTGCTCTTCACTGTATAGTAAAAGTCCCAAGTTTGAATCCAACGGCTGTCAATTCTCTGTGAAATTTTACCTTCTATCGCTTTGAAACTTCTGAGCTTTAAAAACACAGTCAGGAAAAACAACTTCGTTTAGGTGGGTATACACTTGTGAGCCACTCACATAGGTTCACAAAAAAATCCAAAAAATGAATGCTTGAGCTTCTTATGAGCATTACATGAGTCAGTTTGATCACGAGCTGGGAACAAGAAACTCTGACTACTGCAATGATAGAAAGTGGTTTTGGCGCCGTGGGGTTTATAAAAAGTTGGTTGAATTAGAATTGATGTTGGACATGAACTTCCAAAGCATTAGCAGCATATGAATATAAATAAACAATTTTTACAACGATATCACCTACTGATTTTGAAAATTTACTAACAATAATTCCCCAAATTTCAAAGCAGGAGACATTTTTACTCCACTCCATCAAGCGTCCTCTTAAAAAAAATTTTTAAAATAATTCTCATTTTTTGTGTCCCCCAGTATAAAATATGAACGATATGTTTATATTAGTGTCAGTACGTCTTCATTTGACCACACCACTATGGGTTTCACTCGGAAACACGTACACACTGACAATCTTTATGCCATCTAAACTGACTGTGAGCATCCCTTTGTGCTCGTCTTAAAAACCAACTCTAAACTCTAGAAGCTCACAGCAAGCGGCTCGTACGTGCTCATTTACCCAGTCTAGACTGGCAACAGAAATTATGCAAGTTGCTACTGAGCTTTCATTTACTTTTTAATTCATTTTAACTAATAAAAGTTTAATTTAATGTAAAAGTTATGAGTTTTATAACTAATTTATAACTTTTGAGTATAATTTGCACTCAAGAGATTTGTAGAACGTTAGAAAATCGACAACGAAAATTTTTAAGATTCTTACAAGATACCAGATTTTTCCTTATTTTGCAAAATTAATATACAATTCACTAGTTTTCGTGGTCCGCTTGACCGATTAATATCTTGCAATTAATTAAGGTTTTTAGTTGAGATAAAAGTCAATGGCACGAGCCGGATTCGAACCCACGATCTTCGGCTAGATACGCCGCTGCTCTACCCCTTGAGCTGTCGTGACTTCAATCCACTTGGACACTAACTTCCCATCTTAACCCACCTTTCGAATTTTCCCTCCTTTTTGCCATTTTTCAAATGTCATGTAGTCTACTTGATTCTCGGCGACAAATGAAATGGCCACGGAGAGCTTTCGTGAAGATATCCTTCAGTTTAATTATTAAATCCATTACAGTTCATGGTCCGATTGACCAATTAACATTTTTCAATTAATTAATATTTATGAAAGGTATTCGTTGACATAAAAAAGTCAGTGTCACGACTAACTTAGTGTCCGAGCAGATCAAAGTCACGATAGCTCAGGTGGTAGAGTAGCGGCGTATCTAGCCGAAGGTCGTGGACTCGAATTCCGCTCGTGACATTGACTTTTTCATCTCAACTAAAAACCTTAATTAATTGATTTATAAATATAATTCCAATATTTTTCTGAACGTATGGAACAGTGCCTTATAATGCACAGATAATTTTTTTTTTTTTTCATCCTGTTGTAAATAATAAAAATAATATCAGTCACTTCTTTATTTTTAAACAAGAACAATTAAAAAAAAAAAAATGCCTATAACTGAGTGGAGTATATTGCAAAACATAATGTATAATTGACAAAAACATTTTGTTAAATCATATTGCAATGTATTTATAGTTTACAACGAAAGACATTTTTTCCGGGCGTTGTTTATCATAATAAAAATGCTTTTAGGACTAAATTTATTGCCATACTACTACATAATTAAATATAAATAAATTTGTAAAAAAAAGTAAGAATCTATGAAACAAGTAGTGTGATTCTTTTCTTCCACAGAAAAAAATCTAAAGATGAATTTTATTAATTGTGTTAAGCATGGTATTTTGCATAATTTATTAATGAGTTAAGTGTTGTAATTTATTGTCTACTATATCACACTTTATGACTTAATTGATTACACATTACAGTATCGACAATATATCAAAAAAGCATACAAATATGTTACTGTATATTATGAATAAAATGTTTTTCAAAAAATATCATCTGGCATGATGTGTTTTAGGCATGAGATGTTGCAGTTTGTTATTTAGACATAAGCAACCAAGAATGTTTATACTTTTTCATTTTGAATCCACCGTCAAACCAAACCCGCCAAATAAAAAATTATAAAAAACATGTTTTAATTATATTTAAGGGAAAAATTGTTTACCACTTGTCAGAAGGATTTGCTTTTCTAAAGTATTATTTTCTAATCTAGATGGGAAAGATGGGAGGTAGCCCTCTAGCTGGACTTGCAGCCCTCGGCCTCGGCAGCCTCAATTCTGCAAATACGGGAGGTTTGAACCCAGCAGGTAAGTCTCAAAATTTCTACTAGGGCTGTATTAAAAAGAAATTGGAATTTACATTTTTTTTTCTTTCTTGCGTACAGCTTTGGCTGCTCTGGCTGGGAGCCAGCTGCGCACAAACACCCCGAATACAAGAAACCAGCCTGCAGGAGGTCAGCAGACTCATGAAATGACTGTTCCAAATGATCTTATTGGCTGCATCATTGGAAAGGGAGGCACTAAGATAGCTGAAATAAGGTAATAAAAAAATATGAAATATGATAGTTTTTTAAACTTTGCAAACAATTTATTAATAAAGTGTGTACATTTTATTAATAAATTGTTTATACTTATATTTCAATGGTTTTTCTGTTTATATGTTAATTTATGAAGGCATTAGCAATGGCCATAGCACCCAGCCAGCCAGTTAAAAAAAAAAAAAAATCGCTTATGCATTTAATTGGAATCTGCTTAAGATAAACCATTCAGGACGGTGAGCATGATATGCTCTTGCTTCCCCCAGTGAAGGCTAAGAGCGTACGATCATGCTCAAGCGGACGATATCATTTTCTTTAGGCTAGTCCACACTTGGACTCTAAGCTGCATGTCATTGTTGTGGGGCTGAATCTCGTTTGAATCAGGAGTGTTGAGATAGATCCCGCAACATGTCCCGTTGTATCCGGAGTGTATTTTGTGTCAAGATTTTGAGACACATCGAAATGGAATTCAGTGATATAATATTGCGCAATATTGCAAGTGTAGACGCATGTTCTGGGGACAGCCGCCAGTCACCATTCAAACGCCAGCAGTTGATACACGTGCTATTTCCTTATCCCTTTTTTTTTTCTCAACATGTGGACGACTGAATTAACTTTAAAGTTAATCGAGGACTTACAAATAAGCGTTTGCTTGTGGGATGTGACAAGTGTTGATTCACAGGAACTGTGAGAAACAGGCAAAAACAATTTGTGAATTGGAACAAAAATATGATGTTTTCAAAATTTGAAAAACCAAATTAAAAAACAAAAAAGTACACACTAAAAAATAAATTTAAACAGGAACATAAAAAATTAGTAGATACTAGATAAAGTGGTGCATCGCCCAAAAAATGTATGTGGTTTGGATATAAACACCTGTTTCTTCTAACCGCCAAATGATTTTCAAAATTTAGGCATCATCCTTAAAAAGTTGACAAATCCCATTCCCTCTTCTAGCCTTAATGTGTCTGATGCCGCATTTACACATTCGCATGAGCGGTGAGTCAAACCGTGAGGCGAACATGTAGATGGTCCTCTCGTCATTTGTCTCATGGATCACCTCGCCACTCCCAGTCAAAGGCCCCTTACAGATGAGGTGAACTCAGTGATAGATATAATTGAACTTGAAATCGTGAATTAAAAAAAAAAAAAAAAAAAAAAACGCTATCACCAGAAAGTAAAAATCTTAAAGCTATGGCTAGGCCGACTTTAGCTGGTAGCGGCATTATCTGTTTAATTTTTCTTTTATTTATTAACGGTTCAATTTTGCCCGACATGTAGTCAAAATCAATTGGTAACATTCTACAAAAGTTCACTAATTTTGTGGTCCGCTTGACCAATAAATATATTACAATTTTACAATTAATTAAGGTTTTTAGTTCAGATAAAAAAGTCAATGGCACGAGCGGGATTAGAACCCACGATCTTCAGCTAGATTCGCCGCTGCTCTACCACTTGAGCTATCGTGGCCTCGATCCACTCGGACACCAACTTCCCATCTCAACCGCACCTTTTGAATTTTCCCTCCTTTTTGCCATTTTTCAAATGTCGTGTGATCTATTTGATTCTCGGCGACAAATGCAATGGCCACGGAGAGCTTTAGTGAAGTATACTTCATTTTCAATCATTAAATTCACTAATTTCGTGGTCCGCTTGACCAATTAATATGTTACAATTAATTAAGGCTTTTAGTTGAGATAAAAAAGTCAATGTCATTCAAAAGGTGGGGTTGAAATGGGAAGTTAGTGTCCGAGTGGATCGAGGTCACGATAGCTCAAGTGGTAGAGCAGCGGCGTATCTAGCCTAAGATCGTGGATTTGAATCCCGCTCGTGCCATTGACTTTTTATCTCAACTAAAAACCTTAATTAATTGTAATATTCTACAAAAGTTTGCCAATTCTCCAGTCGCTTTCCATACTTAGTTCGGTAGCGATGACATGGTATCATCCACCATCGTCTTTGGTGAAATCTTTTTTTTACTTTTTATCCAATTAGTTATAAATACTGTCAACACAACACAGCGGCTGCCGCTTGCCTTGGTGAACTGAACAGTTGGCGAGTGTGCTGTGGGGAACGAATGTGCGAATACCCCTCGCAAAAGTAGTGAGTGACGAGGCGAGCAATGAGCGTAAATGTGGCATAAAAAATTGCGCCATGTTATTGTTGTACTAAACAATTTTCAGACCCGCCATCTTTGATTTCTATTTTTAATTAATAGTAACAGTGGCAGGGAGACCTAACTCCTGAGTGAGACATTTTCTAGGGAACTGCCCCTAGTGTAGACTTATTATTGCAGGGCAGCCCCTAAACATATGCGCAACATTGAATCGGGCTGTTCCGCTGACTTTGACCCTAGTGGGGACTAGCCTTTAATAGCATGCCTTCATAGAGGAAGGGATGAGCATGATATGCTCTCAGTACCAAACTTGAAGAACGAATAGTGCTGACCATCCTGAATGGGTTAAGATGTCAATCCAGTATAAATTGATATTTTGACATGAATGAATTAAATTATTATTTTTAATAGAGATTGTATTTTTAGTAGTTTCAAAGTAAAAGTGACTTGTTTAATTCATTTTATTATTAATTTTCAGGCAAATAAGTGGAGCCATGATCAGAATTAGCAATTGTGAGGAGCGGGAGGGAGGATCAACAGACAGAACGATAACAATCAGTGGAAGCACTGATGCCGTTCAGCTGGCCCAGTACTTGATCAACATGAGGTCAGTTCTCATTTTTCTATTCACCCTTTGCTATGATTTACAAAACCGCCCCGATGAAATCCAAGAGTACTCGTCACATTACCCTTAATCACTCAATCTCCGAAAAATCTTGGAAAAAAACTAGTCACCACAATTATCCCAGTTTCCAGTACTCTCAAGAAATCCCCTTAAAAAATAATCCTTTGTAGGAACAATTTTCTCATGTATATAATTACACAGAGATAATATCAACAGTTGTTGCGGTTATTATATTTTTTTTAGATAATTTAAATTAGGTATGTTTTTCCCAATGGATAATAGTATTTTGCTTGGTTGCTATTAATCTTAGTGCTTTTCACCATTTTGTTGCTATAACATATGACAATTAGCTTGTACACTAATGGAAACCATACCTCCCCCAATTTGTTCCTGTGTTCCTTTCTTTAAATAAAAGTCCAATAGTTTTTTGGTTTTTTACCTTAGTGGTAAAATAAAATAGTTACCCAATTTTAATTTTTTTCCTAATTAAGAGTTTTTATTTTTAAATTTACAATAGCCTTTGTTTTGTATCATTTATTTATGCCATATTTATACAACCCATGTCTTAACCTTTTATTTCAGTCCTAACTGCTGTGATAAAAATCCTGAGCAAACTTCTTTTTTTAGTCTTGAAGGAATTTGTGTTGTCTAAGACCAACCTGATCCTATTTCAGAAAAAATTGATTTTTTTTTTCTCAGCGTAGAATTTAAGCATAAACCAGGATCGTATACCTAAATTTTATTCATCCTGAACAACCTCAGCCTGAATATTTTCCATTATCATTCCTGACAATCACTAATGAAAACTAACGAACACTGTTAAGCTGCATCACTAATTTTAAAATAAATTTTTAAAAGAATAATTAAGTGTTCAACTTGGCAATAATTAAAATATATGTGAATACAATTACATTTATATTATTAATGAATTTTTACTTGTGGGTCTAGTTGAAACAAAAAATCGAACTCCTTAATATTTAATTACAAATTACTTATGTATTTTCATATATAAAATTCTGGGTTAAGGTAAATTTGTAAGAAAGAAAAGCATTAGTTCCTTTGTTGAGCTTTGAAAATATGTCTCCAAAAGGACGATACTATTTCTAATGATAAACACGCTTCACAAATTTAAACATTTACTTACAATATTAAAATTACGGACAACAATCAGATACGGTAAAGATACGGTCCCACGGTGAATATGTTAACCCTTAAGTCCACTCAGTGCACCATTGGGCAAAACTTATGGTGATTGGGGGGGGGGAGTACTTGAGGGTCTAGATACCCTTTCAGTATGCTAGTTGCATTGTTGTGGAGAAGTTGCAAATTTCATTTTTAATCAGCTTTCCCAAGGGAACCAGTTATTGTTGATTTCCACATGGTGCACTTCGTACTAAATCTTATATTTGGACAAAGAATTAAAAAATTTCAAAATAAATAAATATAAATAAAAATCATGGTTTTTTATGAAAAAAAGTGCACCAGCCTGCGAGCATATTTTAATCTACAAGATGTGCGGACTCAAAGGTTAAATAAAAATTGAGGAAAAGAACCAGCTGATCTTCAAAAAAACAGTCGCTACCCAGAGAAAACATCATTGTCAATAAAGATCAGCCTGACCTAATTATTTTCATGGTGCATATCTCCTTCACAATTGTTTAAGCCGGGAACACACTTACCCGATGCTTCGCCATGCGACGCTACCCGATGCTACCCGACGCCTTGCCACGTTTTAGTGGGATGTGCACATCTATTCGACGCAAGTACATGTCACGTACAGTCCACAGCGTTTATCACAATAATCACGATCACAATCGCAATGCATCGTTTGTTCTTAATGCACTATTTTGAGCAAAACCTTGTAATAAATTGTTAGTTAAATTTTATGAGCACAACCATCTAAGAAATTGTTTGTTAAACTTAATTGTTTTAAATAAAGTTACTCCTAACCATCATAATTAAACAATGTTTATAAAAACTTATGCACTTTTGATCTCGTTTAATTTGGTTTACATTAAAATAACATGTAATTAATATAACAACAAAATTACATGTACTTAGTTTGAAATAAACTACAAAAAATATGAGTGTCCTGTTCTGATGCTACCCGACATTACAAAATGGTGTAATTTTACGAGCAAAACTATGAAATAAATTGCTAATTAAATTTTATGAGCAAAACCGTGTAATAAATTGTTCCAATTTTAGTATATGTACCGCCGAAGTGAGTACAATAAATTGTTAGTTAAATTCATTATATCAAAAAATCGTATTCCGGTGTTTTGATTAATTTTCTACCAAACCATTATAAAATTAATTTTTTAAATAAAAAATAATTAATTTTTAACCACAGTTATATTAAAGTAAGTATGTTGTAATTAATATAACGACAATAATACATGTAGTTTGTATAAAAATATGTGTCCGGTTCTTTTGTCTTCGACTGTACTCGATGCGACCCGACGAAAATCTAGACAGTGGGGATCGCAGAGCGTCGGATAGGTTAGCATGGCATAGCATCAGGTAGATGTGCACGGGGGTAATGCAACGTTATGGAAAATCGGAGTTTGGATTTGCGTCGGGTAGCGTCGCATGGCGTAGCATCGGTAAGTGTGTTTCTGGCTTTAAGTGCTTGTTCATAAGAAATTTTCACTCAAGCACCCACAACTAAAATATGGTCATTATTGACTTAAAACAATATCTTAAAAAAGACCAAAATACTTTTAAATAACCAATTGAACAGATTAAATGCAATAATCCTGAATATTAAGTTGTGATTGTTAAAATGATATTTCCCAGAAAGTTGTTATGAAACTTTTAGGGCTTTGGTTGATTGGCCTGCCACAGTGTAACATCAATTTTTCCTTAATACGACAATGAATTGTGTTTTTTGGTGAGTTTTATTCTCATTAAGAACTTTCCAAACTTTGCTATTGAATATTCAATTCACAAGATTTATACCAACTAGTTAGGACTTTGCCTTAGTATTGAGTTCATTATACTTTCTAAATAGGAGATGGTCTGTTTTTATAAAAAAAATTTATAAAAAGCTTAGAATAAAGGTGAAAAGGAGTTTGCGAAGGATTGAACACAAACAAATAAAAAAATTAAATTGTGAACAGCAGTCCCACCTATAATCAATTAACCTTTTATCCTATCGGTGTTTCCTTATTGTCGTTTGGGCAGTGTCGAACTCCAGAAAGCGAACCTCGAAGGGAGCAGCGGCAACACAAGCGGTAACGGCTCAAGTGGAGGTGGAAACGGCGGCAGTGGAGGTCCGTCGCCCGTAGCGAGTGCTTTGCCGCTGGCTCAGCTCCTCACAAAACCCGGAGCCCTTAACGCTCTAACATCTCTGACGGCTCTTTCTGGCTTGACCGACCTCTTGGGAGGCCTTGCCGGAGCACCCGGTGCGCCGATTCAAACGACCGGCGTCCACCGTAACAAATCTTTCACCCCGCGTCTAAGGTCCCCTGGTGGTTCGGCCTCTAGTGATATCAAAATGAAAAATGAAAGGAACAAGTTTGCTCCTTACTAATTTAAAATTTTAATCGGTCTTTTTAATATCATATTATTCAAAAAACAATTTTAAAGATATAATGACATTTTTATTAATAATACATTGTAAAATGAACTTTATAAGAAAGGGTGAAAGCTTTGTTATGGATTTTAGATAAATTGCATTGATTTAGTTAGAAACAAGTAGTTATAGAACACGTGTATTTATTTGCATTTATTTTTACTCAGTAGAACTCTTTTTTTCAGATATAGTATTGTTTATTTTTAGTTTTTCTTTTTCCATTTTAGATTTTTATAAAATGACAATTTACAAGTAACTGTTTTGTTAAGTTTAAATCATTAACTTTTTTCAAAACATTCACATTTGTTAGCATGTAAAGTTCATTCAATTGAAAACAAAATGGTCTTTTTAATTTTTCAAATAAAACTAAGTTTCTGCTACTTTCAATATCAGATTTTTATTTTTCATGGTGTAAGATGTGTATATAAGTATGATTTTTTTAATTTTTTTTTTCTTGTAGAAATTAACTAGTGACAGTTGTAAAAATCACTCTATTCCAACTTAATCAACTCTTGTATTCCATTTGCATAATTAATTGGTGTTGAATGTATTAGAGTTAACATTAGTACCCTTAACATTAAATTTCAATATAACAGTGTTCTATTTTAATGTTTATGTATGAACTTTTTTCCTCCCGTCTATCATAACAGTTTTGTTTTACTTTGGTATTGGTAATATTGGTTTGTATATAATTTATAAGATATATCGTTTTATCTCCATTTAAATTCTTGTTATTAATTCTTATTTCTAAATAAAAAGAGAGTGTAATTATTATCTACCTGCTAAATATTTTCCTAGCGCTAATTATGTTTGACTTTTAAATTATAAATGGAAACGAGTAAAATTCAGTAGCAGAGCATTTATGTAGCTGCATCATATTTTACTTCTTTCTTTTCAATGGAGCCCTGAGAACACATAAACATTTAATGTGCACGACATTAATTATTGCAAAGTTTATTGTTTTACTGACTATTTCAATACCTTAATGGTAAAAATAGGGGATTTTAATTTCCCATTTGTATAATAAATATATGTTAACATTTTTCTGTATGAAATTTTATTTTTATGAAATTGAATTGCAATTATCTACATTAAACACACAAAAATTGAGCTAACAAATATAATATGAAAGCATGATTAACAAACTCTGAACTTTTGCCTCTAATTATTCTGCAGTTTATATTTTGTAATAGTTGTACAATTACAAATATTACGTTTCATCTTTTTCGTATGTTTTTCAATGATGGTGTTTTAAAATTTGTTGATATGGGTCATATTCTTGTGTTCAGGGATCTCCGTCTTAAATTTTACTGCGTTGATTTGATTTGTTTTTCATAATTGTCTCGCCATTTCTTGGTGGTAATTGGTTAATTTCTTATTAATAAGGTTTAGATAATAAATTTGTATTCTACTGTATACGTTATTAGCATTAAAATATGAAAAAATGTATTTCTATTCTCCTTATTTTGCCAACATTAAAAAAATTCTAGGTATTTCAACAGAAACTGTATTCACTGATGTATTAGTTTTAGTGATAATTAAAATATCCATATCCTGAAATTGTATTTTTGTTTAGGAAACTATATCCTCAGACACTACTCAGAAAAAAAAAGACAAACTACCTTTTTTTTTTTCTTTTTCTGTGATATATCTCAAACGAAATATTTATTTTCAAGGGTGTACCTAAATGAATAATCTGCTTTATGTTCAAATTTATCCTAATGATGTTTCGATAATTATCCCAACCTGGTGACTAGTACCCAAACATGAGTCACAAGAACCAGAGAAACTCCCACTTCCGAAGGAAAGTTTTCCCCTCATCATTTCCCAGCCAAGGTTCCACGAAGCTGCCAAAAATCCGACACATCCGGTAAGCGACACATTTACCTTCCAGATATTATTTATTCCTACACCAAAGCTATATGCACATTCTTTCCATACCCACAAACTTTTTTTTTATACTTGCTTACTAATTTTGTATAATTTTTATTTTATTTAAGCCCTTATTCTTCCCTTATCATTTTAATTTCCCCCTTTGAAAGTATGTGCATATATTCCATAGTAATCACCTTTATAATTGTACATACCCTCTTAACTCTAACAAGCGGTGATCCGAGGCTCTGTCTTTTTTCCCCATTTAAATCATAAATAAGCTAACCTAAATAATATATTTATGATAAAATAATATATTTAATGTTCAAAAAATGCAATAATTGATTGCTTTGTCTTCTATTATTTTTAAATAATTTGATCAACCAGCCTCCTCGTGCTTGAATACCCAATTTTCCACCCAGAGGATTGTTATTCCACAATTCTTTAATATTTAAATACTTTGTGCTGATTTCACCTATTTTTTTTTTTTTTCAAACCATAGCCTCGAATCGCAATTTGCCTTGCCATGAAAGTTCCTAAATAATTCCCCCAGTTTTCCATCCAAAAAAAAAAAAGTTTTCTCAAAAATCCGAGTACCCTTTAAATAATGGCCCATTTTAAAAATTGAAGACATTTACAAAATATATCAATAAGCCTAAACCTGGAATAACGGCAGCAAGCCTTTCCTTAAATTCATTTCAAAAACCCCATGAGAAAACATCAACATTCTGTCAACATCATTAGCCATTAAAATAAAATAGCTGTGACCATTTGACTTGAAACGACAGTGTCGCTCCAGTGATAATGACCGTTGTTCCATGTTTTCTAGGATATCGATGGAAACGGCTGGGATGGCAATGCAAGGTTATCACTACATCACTCCAAATCACATCGTTAAGCTTCCGACGCCGATTCATTAATGACATCCCGGCGTAAGTATAACCATTTCTCCGATGTCCTGCTGAAGTCGAGTAATACAATCAACATCAAACTGTTCCATTTACTATTAAAATGTACACTTTCCTTAAGTTTGTTGAATCGTGCTACATCGTTTTATTTCTCAATTCAAGTAATGCTTTTTATTTTTTATTAGAGCAACTTTGTTTAAGAGGAAAGGTTTTTCATTTTTAACAATCCTCTAGAAACTAGAGTGAAATTGTTTTCGTCTTTTCGAAATTATTTATTTAAGGAAAGTGAGTACAATATAAAATGAGGGTGTAATTTGAAAATGTTTTTTATTATATTTACAAAAAATAATTTTTTTTGGTATTCCGAAATGTGAAAAATACAAGTCAACACCTAGATTGTAAGCAAGTATGCTTAAAAAGCAGTATTCTATATGTTAAAATGAGTTGGGGGGAAGAATTCGGAAGCTGAGTGCCTGAACATTGTTTTGACTTCTTTTTTTTCTGTTTTTTATATTTCACTATTATATCAGATTTAGTATTTCTGTCATTGCTAAATGATGTTAGCAAAATGTTGGCTCTTGAAAATGATGCCAAATAAAACAAAAACAATAATAAAAAAAACATTGAAAGTAATAAATAATCTACAATAATAATAGTATAATCAATACTATGTGTTTAGATTTAGGATGTTTTATTGATTTTTTTAATGTTTTCTGAGGGTGAAGTGTAGAAATTTGGTGTTGTATATTAATCTAAAATAGTATTTTTAATGGAAAAGAGTCGAATAGTGTTTTAATTAAGCTTGGTAATAGAACGCAATCGGGTTTCATAGTGCCAAGAATGACAAATTAATTAAGCTTTTTGGGTCCATATTACATATTGTAAAATAAAGCTTTATGTTTTGTATTTCAATAGTTATAGCATTGATCGTTAGGGTAATAAAGTTGCCATGGTAATACGAGGTTATAGTCGAAAATTTTACAAAATAGAAAAAGGAAAGCGTAAAAAGAGTTCATTCGCCATTTATTTTTTTGAACTAATATTCATACTAATTAAGGGCGCATTGAGGACATTTTATGTGAGAATTACTGTGGTAATTGATGAAAATCGAGCTCGGATAGCCAATACGAGCAGTAAGAAATTTTGTGACCAAAATTGGAAGAAAGATCAAATTATAGGGTACATAGACACATGAACTATTAGTTATTGTAAATAAAATATAGTGATGAGTTTAAATAATTTTATTTATTGTTATTTGCTTTTTGTCTTTTATTTATTTTTGCGGCAACTAATTTGGTTTAGTCTTCCGTATATGTAAATATGGTTTGAAAAATATTTTTACTTTATTTATTTGTTTATTTATTGAAAAAAATTTCCGTTTTTATTTTACTCGCGGTATCAATCGATCGCATTTCTTTAAAAAGAAAAATTGCATGTGATGCAAACAAATACCAATTTTCTAGGAAATAAGTTGTTACGTTATTATTATACAGTTTGTTACATATTTAAATGATTATTGACAACCATTTGAAATTTTAAGAAAAGCCAAATTTTTTGAAATGTAAACTCTTTAATTGCGCGAAGTTACAAAAAGACGAAGGAAAATCGCAATTTGTGCCAAATTCGTTTGCAGTATTCTGTACCGCTGTGAAATGATAAATTAATATAAATTTTTAGACTGTTTGACGGTATTTGTGCCAATTTTTATGCTCATACAAACAAGTAAATTGTATTGCTTCAACAATTGCAATTTTTGCTATTACCATGTACTTAATTGATTTAATATTTTTCATTTACAACTGTGATTTTTAAAACAAAAAATTATCATTTCGGATTGTTTTAAATTTTAATTTACTTTTTACAATTTCGAGACATATCTTCAGTTAATAACATATCATATTTATAATTTATTTTCAGAATAGGAATTATGAAGGCTATTAAAAAAAAATGTTTTTGATATTATACCAAGGAAAAATTGAGATTAAAGATGTGAACAGTCTTTTAGTTTTTGTTGAGTTTTTTGAAAACTCATTAAATATGTCCGAGAAATAGCTTAGGGAACGGAAAGACTTTACAGTTTACTTTGACTTAGACAATCATAGTATTAACTGTAGGGATATTTAACAAAAAAAAGTTCTATGAAGTCATTGTCGTTTCTTTCTGCTATTAGTATATTTCACATTAGGATTTAGTCACTGTAGTACTTGTTTTTATTTTGTTCTTTTGCCTTTGTGGCAGCGAGTTTTGCTTTAATCTTTAGATCTTAGATGACAGCCTGTCATTCTTATGTGCACTTTTTACAGAATTTTGTATATTTGAGTGGAATATAGTTATTATGTTAGTTTTATTGTTTAATTTGCTGAGAAAGCCATTTCTGTAGTATTTTGTGATATGTATAGATAGGATTTTTCTAGTGTTTTCTTTTTTTAAACTGTTTTAAAGTGTATTTGAGTTGTTTTTAATTTTAAAAAGGAAAACAAATGTACAACTTTCTCAACCACCCAAAGCCATATCCAAATGATATCACATTTTATAGATGTTTAAAGAATTGTATTGGAAATAACGTACAGGAATACCATATCTCTTGGGCATTAGAATTATTACATGTTTCGTACTGTTGTTTGTTATCTTGGGAGAAATATATTTGTTAAGGAGAAGGAACCACTAATAATTTAAACAATTTTTGTGAATAAAAAATAATAAAAGAAATTAATATCAAAGGTAGCACATAAAAACAAAAAACAACTCAAACATTGCATATCAAGTGTCACAATGTGCTGACAAAAATTTCAGTAAGACTGCTTCATATTGTTTGTAAATATGTTTTATTTGTATTTTTTTTTAACACAAAACTGATTTTCTGGTTCCCTGATAAAGATAACGAATGTTGTTAAACCATGAGTCAGCATGTTCAGAATATTTTCAAAAAATCGAAAATTTTCTTTTCGTCTGAAAGCGAAAATTATTTACTGTTATTATAGTTTTCCCCTCCTTGGAAACTACCAAAGTAAAGAAAACGAGGAGTATTATCCAATCATAGGGAATGTATTGTAGGTAATAAAATAACGAGCTATATCGATCTATACAAGTTCTTGTTAAATCAGCTTACCAAAATAAAGCAAATAGATATAGATGTAAAAATTTTAACTAGTATATTTTCACTTATATCTGAATGTGTGCACTGTTCGTTTATATGTTTGTAAATTAATCACATCACCCCCTCCCCTTAGCCCATATTGATTTGAGAGTAGGAAATGCGATAGACCAATATATAAGAATGTCAAAGAAAAATTACCTTTAAAATTGGTTTTAATCAAAAAGAACATTTTATTTCTCTTTTTTTTTTTATTTACTTTTTATTATTTTTACATAAATCGAATGTACCTCAGCCTTTAAAAAAACAAAAAACTTGATCCTTGCACATAATAAATTTTTTATTTATTTATTTATCTACAACTTGTGGAATAAGCCTAGACTTAGGATCAGATATTAATGAGAAGAATTTTAAATTGACAACTTGTTTTGTTTGTCCCTTTGTGATAATTACTAATTTCTGATAATTACTAAGGCTTAGTAAAAATAAAAGAAAAGCTCTAAGTAATATAATTTTTCCTTACTGTTTTGATTTCCAGCTTTTGAAATCAATCAAGGATCTCAGTAGTTTCTATTTATTGCTCAATTTTTAATAGAACACCTTCAATTTTGAATCTCATTTGATAGAGCATGTTCCTTAAAGTTAATATACTGTATTTGTATATGTGATTTTTTTTAAATTTATTAATTTATTTAGTATATAGATACTCAGGGAAATTTAAGATTTTTGTTTTTCCTCACTTGTCCCACTTTTAATTGTTCTTTTTTGAGTAAATTGTTTATGTGATATTCCCCATACAGTTGTCGCATTTTGTTAAGAGTAACGCTTATTCCACAATTTAAGTTTTTTTTTTTAAACTACCTCCCAATATAGATTTTTTTTTTAACCTGAACCCTGTCCAATTCTTATCATCTTCCTAAGGCTGCAATAAGAGAAGCTGATTTTTTTATTTGCAAGTTGTGTTTTTTTTTTAACGTATCCAACAATACCACCAATGCCAAGAATTATCTCATGCTTGCTTTTCTTTTTATTAAAAAAAAAAAATTAACTAAAATAAAAATAAAACTTAAGGGCTTGGCCCCCTTAATCTCGTGCATTTACTGTGTTTTATTTCAAAGGTATACAGATGAATTCAAAATTTAGCATTTCACTGCTGTACTTTTGATTTTAGATAATTTTTGTATGAGTGATAGTGCTCATGTTAGTCAACCAGTATAGTAGCCTTAAAGCCTTCAAGTACAGGGTCAAATCGCATACAAAAGTAGGTGTGATTTTAACATAATTATAACCATGTCTTTCAATAATATACAAAACAGAAAAAAAAGAAATATATTATAACCATTCTTCTTAGTCAAAGGATAATTTTCGTCAATACACTAAAGAAAAGTATATATAATATAAAATTTAAAACTAAAAATAATAAATTTTAAAATCCCTTTTTCTAAATTTTGAAGGAAAAAACGTGCAAATGTATTATAACTCGTGATTGACATGATTATATGTAATCATACTTATTTTTCTTTGTTGTTAATTTATTTTATTATATTGGATGTACATGGTTTTATAATAAAGGAGACACATATATAATAATATTACAGTTAAGTCTAGTCAGTTTTATCAGATGTTAAATGTATAATAAAGGGGTATTTATGGGAGGGGATGAGAATTATTTATTTTTATTTATATAACTAATTGAATATTTAATTTTTTGATTATGAATATATAAATTATATTATATTATATATATAAAGGGCAGCTTTATAAAAAAAATTCTAGTATTGTAGGTGATCACTCACATTAATTATTATTATATCTATTTAAACATCAAAGTGCAAGTTCAAACTGTTAGATAGTAAATTAAAGTTACTGAATTTATCAATATTTCTTGATGTTGCCAGTTATTAAAGAAAAAACTATATTTAGTATATATAATACATACATATAAACCACGCTTTCATTTATGAAATGATCTGAAATATCATGTTATCATATCATTAGTTTATAGCGCTTATATCAAATGAAAAACTTTTTTTTTAAAGATCACTAGTCCTAATTTAATTATAAAATTAAATATAAAAAAATAATTATTTCTATAGTATTTTATGAAATGTGTGTCAAATTTCTAAGACAATATTAAACATATCGATCGTGTTGTGCCAAATCTTTGTGTTGTGAGAGTTAACTGACAACATCACGATGCTGGTAACTTATCAGTATTTTTTAGAATTGCTACAGTGGATGTTTGGCTTTTACTTTGAATACAAATTTTATATTTAATAATATATTTGTGGTAATGCTTAATGTGTAAATGAAAATTGTTTTAGGTATCAAATTTAAATAGAAAACAAAAACAAAACAAAAAATGTATTTATGGGAGAAACTTTCTTTCCAGACTGTGATAGTATTTTAAAATCCTGTTTTGAGATATGGGCATCTGTGATGTGTACTCTTTAAACTGATCCATTACATATCCCAGTCATATATTTTGTAATAACTCCCAATGAATTGGAAATCGATTACTTCTCCCATAACATACATTTGAACGTATGTCTAATTAATTATAGCTGGCAATAATATTATTAATTTTTATCTCACATTGAAAAAGACATAATTGTATTATTAATAAAATATTTGTTATATTTGTTGTTTCTTATTTGTTATATTTAGTCTCCTAATCCTTAACCTTAGAAAATTACAGAATCTGGTAATATTTAGTATGTGTTCATTAATTTCAGTCAGTTACAGCCAAGATTTATGAATCACTGATTGCACAAAGGGGACATGTTCCAAAAACTAAATTTTACAGGAGAGGCAAAAAACTGTTTTAATGAGGTATTTTCTGTTCTAAAATTTTGAATAAATTACAGGACTAAAATTAGGCTATTCTAAAAATGTATTTTGAGGTTTTCCTGTGAGCAGGATAGCCACTTTTGTGGTGTGGACATGTCTCTGTTCTGCTCTCGACACTTTTTTTTGTTGTGAAGAAGGGATCGTTTTCTGCAAGAACCGCCTCGAAAATATTTAATACAATTAAACATACATGTAAAAATAAGTTTCAAACACAATTAAAGTATAAACATGAGACCCAAAAGAAAAATATTAACTCAATAGTTTGTTTTAAGGAGCTGTAGGCCAAGCGTAAAAAAAAGTGCTCTTTAAATCCGTGATTTTTGCAGCATTGACTGAAATGTGTGGTGATTAGTGACCGTTAATCGATATTTATTTAGAAATCGTGAGATGCGGTCTGGTGTGATGTAGGTTTCAGAAAAACATTTTCTTTAACGTGCCAATGTTTCGATCTTTATTGAGATCATCCTCAGGGCCTAGGATTTACAAACATTGTTTACATATTACAATTACATTTTGGATGTGGAAAAGTGAATTTATTCAATGCGAAATATTTTTTTTTATTTATTCAATCAAAGTATTTCTTGAATAACATAATTAACAGAATAATCAACAATTACAACTCAACACTAACACCATCCACTATTACTAATAATACTACATTAAGTCTATCGAATACAAACAAACCAGCATACATTTCCATACGATTTATCCAAGGCCTATCACATAAATTAAACACATTTCTCTTGTCCGATAACTTCAAAATAGCTTTCAAAAATTATAAAACAATTCAAACACTTTTTTCCAAAATTAAAGATCCCACACCAATAACAAATAAATCTGACGTAATCTACAAGATCAACTGTTTAAACTGTCCGGCAACTTACATCGGTCTTACATCCCAATATCTGGACAAGAGAGTAAAGCAACATATCTATGATTGCATAAAACCCAAGCAAAATCCTACAGCACTCGCTACCCACCATTTTGAACACCAAACAATTTCGACTTCAAAAATCCAAAAATATTACATACAGAACAAAACAAACATAAACGTAATTTCTAAAAAATGGTTTATATCAACCGAGATAAACACAGCATCAATTACAGAACAGATAAATGTAAACTCAGTCGCAGCTACGCCAATATCTTTAATCACATTCGATACAGATAGCATACCTATATCATCACATTACATTCTACACATCAAATATTTTTCACATAGTCTAATTTCCCAACAATTCAGCTTTCCTTTTCCTATTTTATCCCTTTCTTATGATTACTTTTATCCCTTTATTATGATAATCTGACCAACACATTTTTTCCCTTCGTCGGCTGTTTTCACCTCAAAGAAGCCGACGCTTTATACAAAAATGACTTTTCTATACCGACATCCTTCCCCACCCCTTCAAAATCCAACGTATATAAACACAAAATGGCAAAATCTCACTGGCACTCTCGACACGACACGCAAGATTGGCACAATTACACAGAAGACAAACACTTTGAGTGAGTAGAAATTCTTTGATTGAATATATAAAAAAAATATTTTCCATTGTATAAATTTACTTTTCCACATCCAAAATGTAATTGTAATATGTAAACAATGTTTGTAAATCCCAGGCCCTGAAGATGATCTCAATAAAGATCGAAACGTTGGCCCGATAAAGAAAATATTTTTCTGAAACCTACATCACACCAGACCCGCATCTCACGATTTCTAAATAAATATTGACTGAAATTTTTGACGCGTACAATTCTGCAGTTGGTAGCACAATATTAAGAGTATTTCCCTTCCTCAGCTGGAAATTGTAGGCTACTAGGCCATCAATGAATTCAGACGATTTATTAATGCCTGGAGTTTGGGATGATACTCAAAGTAATGGCATGATGAAATTATAAATTTCTTTTGATCTTTTGCAGGTAGTCTTCGTGTTTCCAAGAAGGAAGTTGGTTTAAGGACTCCTTTTTGCGCTCAAGGTAGATTTAAAGGCCCGTTTCCTTCCATATCCAATCAAGTGAAATGTCTCATTTTAGCACCAAACAGGGGAAAAGTAAAAGAAAGCTGAAAGCTTCAACCAAAAAGGACTAATTCCACGAGGGCTTAAGCAAATAAAGCCAAGGATCATAATATTGCGAGTCCCGTGTCTTCACCAAAGAACAATTACTCCAGCAATTAATTGAAAATAACGCTAAATTCGGTGAAGAGTTCAATACTGAAAACGTTAAACCCCTTTATACGGTACCCTATGGTAAACCCCGTGAAGGAGCAGATAAGCTGGTATCTTGGGTTGTAGAAATGCTACCCAAGCAATG